GACTCTTGTCAATGGTAAAGCTTCTATACACACACAGTAGCAGTGCAAAACCCTTGCTGTACATTCACAGTATGCTTTATGACAGCATATCAGATTAATAGTGCTTAAAATGATCTTCAAAATCCCTTTAAGTACTGTTATCATTACAAGGCTAAAGTGGCCCTAATCTTATAAAATGCATCTAGTGAGGAATATTTTCGATTCACACTTCACTCCAAAATCTAACAGGAAAGAAAGAAACCAATTTTAAGGGCCACACTAACTTGATTGATTTTCAGATAAGACAATGTTTCTTTTTACTCGTGCCCACAAAAATTCTGTCAGCTGTGTTACTAATGAAACTATCCCCTGAAAACTCAAAAATGGTTCATCACCAAAACCTTGTGACCAGCTGCAGCATCATGCGAAGTCATTTTCTTCTTTTGAACACATTACTCATCAAAGACAAAGTGATACATTGATAAAGGATAAATGCACTCCATCTAGCCATTAGATTGTTTGTTCTCTGTTGTATCCAATCAAAAATGTAAAATCATCTTTTTCCCCGGCAGGCAAACAGTGGACCTGGAACAAATGGCTGTCAGTTTTTTATTACCTGCACAAAGTGTGATTGGTTGGATGGGAAGCACGTGGTATTTGGTAGGTCAGATAAATCCTGTATCGATTCAGTACTGAGAGAACTTCTGTCATTAACTGCTGGGGGTCTTTCTTACAGGAAAAGTGGTGGATGGTTTGCTTGTCATGAGAAAAATTGAGGTAAGACATTATTTTTCAAGTTTTGTACATTTCAGATGTTCTCAAGTGTCAGTTCTTTCAGAGCAATTTATTATTGATCCTATTGATGATTGATCCATTAACTTGGGTGGCAAGTTGGAGATCTGCCATGCTTAAAGCATATGAAGAAATGTTTGTCAACATCTACGTAAGAGTCTGAGAGAATTCCTTATGATGAGATGGAATTCTCAGACTTTTCAGTATTGGTTTCTTTGAAAGATCAACTACTAAAACATCATGAAAATGTTGAAGAAACAACCCAGACTCTTCAGTGAGCACTTCAGTGCATCCTGCTGACTTTCTAAAAAAAAAAACTACTTCTATGCTTTCATTATTTCATAATCCCTTTCTTTTATAGATTACTGTTCTAAACAATGTTTGAAACTTTGTTTTGCTAGCTTGCTTGTATCGTGCTAAATGAATACATGTAACTGCAGTGAAAAAAAATGTTAGATTTAGGGCTGTCAAATCAATTAATCGTGAT